AGGAAACCATGTGACTTTGGTGTCAAAAGTAACTCCTTAGACTTTGATTTTGGGTTGGTTTTTGATTATGTGGTTACTAATTTTGATTGAGATGTCTTGAAGTTTCCTCTTTTGGCTAAAATTAAAAGGTTAGTCTTAGTGGGGGAAAAACGGAAGCCGGATGATTTCAACCAGGATATGAGTTTGTTTGATGAGCTTTGTAATTGCTTTTGAATGGATTCGGAGTTGATACTGCAGTAGAAGATGGTGAAGTCATCTGAATATAAAAGAGGTATGCAAGGGGATATTGTTTCTTCGGACATTTCATTGATAACGATAATAAAAAGCGTAATGGAGATGGTGGAGCCTTGAAGGACACCGTTTTCTTGACAAAATATGTAGGAGAGAATGTTGAATGTCTTGACTTGAAAAGTGCGGTGGCTAAGAAACTTGAGCATATTTCCTTTGGAGTTGATTCTGTTGAGTATGTAGAGTTGTTTAAGATCTTCATGTCGTGTTATGTGCTTTGGCGATATCAAAGCTGATCATTCCGAAGTCTTAAGTCTTGTTTTTTTGGTTACTGAAGTTTGGATCTCCTTTTTTTATTGTTTGCAAAAAATTTAGGACACTCCTAAGACGACGGAAACCGTTTTGAATTGGAGACAGAAGATTATAGTTATCGAGGAACTATACTAGACGACAGTTAATTATTTTCTCCAGTAATTTATAGTGTTTAAAAAAGTAATGGAACGGTTGTTTTCGACTTGAAATTTATTTTTTATTTTTATATATTTTATTAATACTTCAACAACACAGGATTTTAGCCTACATTAGATTAAAGGTTAGACATGAAAAGATTATATATATAATATATATCATACATTTAGTATACATTTTCTACATTATTTAAAATGGGTTGTTTAAGGTTATATTAAGAAAAAATGTACTGACTGCAGCTGTGTTTCCATCATTGAAGGCTTGATGGATTGAGACAGGATTTTTGAGTATTTTGCATGTCAGTGTAGTTAGGGCCGATGATGATAATGTGATGATCGATTGCTAGAGTTTCATTGCAAGTGTCACATATTGGTGCAGGTTCTTTTTTGGTGAAGTGAAAATGAATTAGGCGAGAGTGGCCCATTTGATTCGATTAATGATTACTTCCTTTCTTTTTTTTTTGTACCAGAAGGATAATTTAATTGTTTGGCGAAGAATTTTACATTTCTCAAAAACGTTGCCATTCTTCCATTATTTTTCGATGAATTATGAATTTATTAAAATAAATATTTCAATTATGGGTTGAAATTCTTCAAATTTGTTATACGTAATACCCATTAATATTTCATTGAATAATGTTATTGGTCGTTCTAATTATAATTATTTAATATTTAGTTGCGAATAGGTAATTGGAAGATTGAGTGTTTGCTTTAACTGTGAATTTTGAAAGATTTTATCTATCTAGAGATGGAGATAAAACTTGAAATTGGAGATTTGACAATCTGGTGAGAACAGTTTCAATGTTGTGATTTGTGATTTTAGAGTTTATTAAGTCAACAAGGTTCATTACATTAGTGATATCCAAATTAATATCCTTACAAATATTATGAATATTCATATTTTTGTTTGTGCAATTTTTCAATATATATTTGAATAATTGGAGTAGAGACATAGAAAGATTATCGCGAAAACGTCTTCAGCGGGTTTGAGGCCCAAAGCTATTTATCTTGAGTGTGGGATGGGGTGAGAAGTTCAATCTGGATCTATAGTTTACCGAGCAGGGGGGGTCTTTGCTTCTACACTCAACATATCTATCTTTATATTACTTATATTAAAGTGAAAATGGAATCTTTGTAATGGGTTAGCTTCGAAATTACTTACTTGATCGTGATGCAGTTTATTTAAATCAAAGAGAACATCACAAAGCATATCTGGTCAAAGGTTCCTCATAGAGACTGGTTTGGATGTATCTATTTTTAATGCGTTTTACACTGGAAAAGCTACTTCGTAACGCTTTCCTTTCACTTCTACTGATCATTCAACTGGATCTACCAGACAAATTACCGAAGACTCCAGAAATTTTACCGAACACTCCAGACTAGTTACCGGAAGTTCCGAGTTAACTCTGATTTTGCGAGTTTCTTCTGGAAAATCGAAAGTCCCGAGTTGTAAAGTCCACCACTTGGTTTGCTGTTAGTGCAGCGAGCTTGTTGTAACCATCGGAATGCCGCGTTATCTTTGAATAACATTAACTTACCAAACTCGAGATACAACTTGAACTGGCTCACCGCCCATACTATGGCTGGGCACTAACATTTAATTGCCGAGTATCTTTCGTGAGTTGAGAATAATTAGCGACGAGTGTAGGAGATGAATCTTCTTTTACCACACTCCCCTTACTGGAAAAGAACGGCGCTAACTCTGATTTCATTGGCGTCGGTCAGCAGATTGAACAGCTTACCTAGAAGAAAAGGGCAGAGTCGTGGTGTGAACACCAAAGACTCTTTCAACTTTTGGAACACTTCTTGTTTAATTTCTGTACAATGCCATTTGGTCCCTTTGGCCAACAGACTCGTGAGTAGTGTTGTGATCTCGGCACAGCGTGGCACGAACTGGCTGTATCAACCACAAATACCTAGCACCCGCAACACGTCCTTTTTCTTTTTCGGAACTGGTAATACCCGAATCGCTGTCAATTTTTCCAGTTTCCGGTCAATTCCCTCACCATCCACGATGTGCTCAAGGACTTTAATCTGTGCAACACCAAATGTACCTTTTTTAGTTAACACGTCAGACCATATGACTGGAGTCGCTTTAACACTCTATGTAAGTAATTTAAATGGTGACAATAGTAGGTTCGACAAAACGTTGATCATCCATGTCTCGCACTATTTCGGCAATTACCTCGTTTTTTTCTTGGGAGGACCCGTAGGCGTTTAGAGCCACTGGATTTGGATCCTTGAGTCGGATCCGGTGCTATATCATCCGAGTTCTGCCCTTCTTCTCCAGAGTAAATTTCTGGATATTGAAATAGAACATTTTTAATTTGTATACCGTACTCACATTCCGATAAACCTATAATAGTTAAAAGACCACTCCTACGGTAATCAGAGTTACTAGATTTCTCCAACTCACGGAAACACGTCTTTCTTTCTCCAGGTGGATTATACAACTAATGTAGTCCCAAGTAACTTGTTGCTCTACGATAAAATCATGGGCTAAGAAAAAATCTTCAATGAGGTCGTCTATTATTGCAACCCTAAATCTTCCGGATCCATTACACGGGCCCATAATTCTGAAAACTCCGTAATTTCTCGGGTTCAACTATCTGTCATCATCTCAACAATCTTCGGTTTTTCGGTAAAATTTCGGCCAAAATTCTTCGCCACTCACGATGTGACTTAAGTCCTTGTCGCTTGCGAGTCCAGTAGCGCTAACCTAACTTAACCTAACTACTGGCTCGAATGTAGCCTCCATTTTTATGACCAGTACCGGAATATCCAATATCTTTGTTTTACCCGTTGATAACACTACAATGGCTGAAAACTCTTCCTCTTCAGTCTGCAGACCCGAAAAGCGTTGTCACCACTCAAATTTGAGGTCAGTATCTGAGTCTCTCTTCTTGCACTTTTCCCGTGGATAAAGAATAATTTCTTCGGGAAAATCTCGAGATGTGATTGGACAAATTGTCAACTGCTGTATTAACTTATCTTATTCCGCATCATCTGAAACACTGTCCACGACATTTTACTCGGAAGAATAACTCACCTTGGAGAGATCTTTATGTTTGTCCAAAAAACTTTCATTTTTACTGATCATTCTTACTCGATTTTCTCAAAATATTGTTTGGGTAGTCCACCCGCCTTTCCGTTAATTTGCCATTATTCCGACTCATTGTTTTAAAGTATGAACTGCGGTTCCTTTTCGGAACGTCATTTTAAATGCGTTTTCTTGGATGGCTACAACGTTTTTTTCGGATTTTTTTGGAGACTCGACGGTTTTCACCGAACAACTTCTCATCCCGAACGTCTACTTAAGGTAGATCTCTGTTCTTACCACTTTTCTGCGGTTTAGAACTTCCCTGGCCCAAATTTTTCAGATTCTTACCAGAATCTCCAGTTTGTAAATCTCCCAAGTTCTTTTTCTTCTGATCAGTCTCGATAATGTGTGGTTCCTGTAACTGCCGATGTAGAATTCCGTTGTCTACCACTATTCGGATGACTCACGGTTATCGAACATGCAGCTTGTCAGTGGTCATGACTTCTCTGCTAGTATTCTCAGCTTTTCTTTTATTTAACCATTTTAGTTATGGTTGTTAGTTAGTTATTTGAAGCTGTAATAACAATCCGATTAATATTTACGGGAAAACAACACTTAAAAGTACTTAAACAGTCAAAACCATTTAAAAACAATATTTCGTTTATTAAAATAAAATCTATTCCAAAAATTTTTTTATTTAAATAAATAAAAAAAAAAATAAAAAAAATAATAATAATAATACATTATTATTAATAATAATGTATTTTGATAAACAATTGACAGTCATGTCTTTGGGTTAAATATTATTTTACGAACAATCAGCAATTAATGTTCATCTAAGGTTATTTAAAAATAACTTTTCGAGTACTATTTACAACCAATTTAGAATCTATAGGTATTTCCACTTATTATTTACCATAAATGAAGTTTAATAAAACAACATTAATCATAAAAAAAATTAACGGAATTCAATAAATATATTAGACTTAAAATATAAGATATTATTATGATATTAGAGAGTTTTATTTATGTTATTTCATTAATATTATATGCACATAAATTAAATGTTCATTAATCTTAAGAAATCAGGAACAACAAACTATGGAAAATTATAATGTATAAGTAAGAAATATGTATTTTTCATTTAAGTTATAAAAGTATAAATAAAATTTAAAAATAACTCATAAATTATGAAAAGAAATTAAATTTAATACAAAACATAACTTAAAGATAAAGTAACTTTAAATATTACTTATAATCACAACTTATAGTATAAAAATCTTAAATGTAGATTAATTTCACAGCAAGTAAAAAAAAAATCCTTTTTAATGTATAGTACCATGAAGTAGGATGGATATTTCATGTTGATATGAAAATATCATATATTGTAAAAAAATACATCATTTAGCAGATGCTTCTTCTCAAACTTCTACAGATATATTTGAACCAGATCTTCGTTTCTTTTTTGGCGGTTGCTCGTCAGCATCATTTGATCTTTTATTACCAGTGAATTCTTCATCACTTTCCTTTACCAATAATATAAAAACATTAAATTTATTAATTACTAAAATCAATTAAATTCTACTTACATCTGAATTATTTTGTTTGCTAAGCATGTCTTGAACTTTCTGTATATTTAGTCTGAAGTCACGGGTGGCAGTGAGTTTGATACTGTTCACCAAATTTTGATCCTAGTCATCAAACACAATTTAATATTTTATAAAAGTTTATATTAATTTAACAATTTATTATTTTACTATAATATAATCATAAAAAATAAACACAAAATAAAAAAAAATGAATAGTTATATTTTTAACCTTGCATTTTTTTCCCAATTTAGTGATTAGGTTTACAAATAATTCTAATTCAGTGACCACTCTGGGAATGTAAGAAGCTTGGCGACGTGTTTGATTTTTCAATTGAGCAGACTTTTTCTCTTTATCCGTCAATGGTCTATCATACTGAAATATTAATGTGTAATTTAATATGAACATTGTAGACGAAATATAAATAACTATTAAAAGTATTATACCTCTATAAACATAATAAACTTAGAAACATTTGGTGAGAGTTGAACATTAACAATTTCTGACAATTTAGTCAATCTAAAAAAAAAAGTAAATTTAATATTATTACATATTATTAAAAACATGCAAAAAAAGTTTACTCAACAAAGCTTGTTTATATATAGGTTCGTTTACAGTGGAACGCGTTAGGAAATGTTTAATAACTATGTTGATGGTTCTATAGAGTTGGTATAATAAATTGAAAACCGACTCTGTACATTGACCCAATGGAATAACTGTTTTCGTGAATGAAGTTGCAGATAACACCACTAAAACAATACGATGACAGATAGCTTTTTCTCGGGATTTCAGTCGATCTTGACAAATAAGTTTTATTTTTTTTTGTGATGCGTTCAATTCAGCTTTGATTCGAGATAAGCATTGCACGACATAGTTCAACTCATTGCACAAGTTTTGACATAATACGGGACACATTATTGCTCTGTTCCAATTAGTTATTAATCTCAATTGTCTCATTTGTGATTGGTTGGCTTTATGAGACTATTAAAATATAATAAAGCAAATCATTAATAATAAATACATCAAAATCAACTTATTATCAGATATGTTTCGATAATAACATTTAAAACAATAAGCTGTTAATATTAAATTAAATTATCATGATACATTATTTGGTAAATGAAGGTAGACTTAAAACTTTTGGTAACTGTTCCAACATTCTAAGGTAATAATAGCAAATTCCAAGGCAAATATCATTTACAGGGCTCGGAACTTTATGCATTTGTAACTGTCTCAGGAAGCTGCATATTTCAAATCTGATTCGGTACAAATTCGTTTCATGAACCATACAATTGAAATATAAAAATTTAAGTTGGACACTTTTGCATATTTTACTAAATTTATATGATTTTGTTGAGTATATAAATGCATTTTATGTTAGAAACGTATTAAAAATTAACAATAAACAAGTTTCCAATAATTGAATATTGTAAATTAAATGATTTACAAATTAATAGCTACCGTACATTACTGTTGCCTTTTCGGTATTTTTAATTTATACTTTAGAGTAAGAGTACCGAGTAATAGTATCAATATTAGTTGAAATATTGTGTAAATGTTAATAATTGTCTTATTTAATTAAAATGTTTTCAAGAATAAAATATTTATTTTTACCAAGAACTGTCACTATTACAATAGACGACGCTCACCCGTATCGTTTATAGTGTTTATACTAAGAAATAAGAATCGTAATGACCAGCCAGGTTTTTAAATTTATATTTAAGTCGCTCGTTAGATAAAATTATACAAAATACCCATATGGCATATACCAATGATTTTGTATTATGTTGACTGAGGTGTATGTATGTCAATAATTCTATTTTTTAAATCTAGGATTTTGGGAATAGATTTAGTAAAACAGCTTTAAATCATCAAAAGAAAAATATAAATAAAATATTTATAATACAAAAATAATTTTATAAAATAATAAATGTATATTTGTGTTTTTTTAGTGCATATGTATGCACATATTTCATTGTTTTTTTTGCGCATAAAGTTCCGAGCCCTGATCATTTATATTAAATACACAAAAAAAGCAAAATACTCCATCAAAAGTGTGTTGAGATATTTGCTCACAATTAAGAAATAGTGCACAAAGAATATTTAAGTATAGACAAGTATGAATAGTAAAGAAATGGTTTTTATTTTTTTTAAAAAGGACGTCACTCCCATGTTGTATTATCTCCGTCTTACATTAAATTTTTATTCAGCAGAATTAATTTTATGTTCTTAGCTTTAATATTAGAGTGAATTTACCTATTATCAAATTTTAAGATAAGAATTTTATCTAGGCCATCTCATAGGTTTTTATTAATATTATAATTTTAAAGTGAGTTCTGAGCACTTTAAAGTTTTAATATTTCACATAGCTTACAAGACAGAGATGTGGCGTCTTTTTAAGCAGTTACTCACTTTACTTATTCGACCAAATGAATGACACAAGTTTTTAATTGTAGTCGCTAACATTATAGGATCTTCTTGGTTTGCTGAATGCATCTCCAACATGAGAGTTAAGAACTGTTTGGAGTTGTTTGAATTTGAAAATGTATATTTTTCGGCTACCGTAGATAGCCAGGTTAATATCTATAGGTAAAAAACAGTTTATTATTCATTTACTAATATAAATAATAATTAAAATTACATTTTTAATTTTAGAATCCTGATTATTTTTTATGCCATGACAAACAACAGACATACATCCAATTAAATGAGATTCTATTGTATCATATGTTTCTTTATCATCATTATCATCCTGTTCATTACTATCGTCATCAATTTTATTTAATTGTAATATTTGATCTAAATATAATCTCATATTACGCAGCACATTGAATATTTCTCCTGATTCCTCATTTGAATCTTCTTGATCTAATAATTCATAAATTATTTAAAAAAACATGTTAACATTAAATGTATAATATAAACTTACTGGAGTCAGAAAAAAATTTATTCAAGTTTTTATAATACGAATTAACAATTTTTATTGTTTGTAAATAACAATCCAATCCTAATTCAAGAACTGTTTGACTGAATTTAATTTTTTCACAAACATCAAATAGAAAATAGTCGTAAAGCAATCTATTAATATTAGTTTGATTAACAATTTATATATATGCATAATTAATATGAAAGTTAAAATTCTTACTTTGTCAGTTTACAAATATTTTCATATAAATTACGAGGTTTTATATCACGTGAAAGCAAATTCTTCACTTCTATTAAATGTGTTTGTACCAGTTTTAATACAAATTCCCATAAACTCACATTTTGTTTTAACAGTACAACATTAAGTTCAGATGCCCAATTAACATTTTTACTATAACATTAAATTTTAAATTATTACATTTTTAGTAAAAATTGTAATTGATAAAATATAAAATAAGTCTTACGCAAGTAAAGAAAGAAACTTATAAAGTACATCAAAATCTAAATGAATTGCGGGTTCAACAAATTTAGAGACTGCTCCAGTTGATTCAGTTTTGTTTTTTTTATTTCCTTTATCCTTCTTCTTATTAGTTTTATCTGATGCCTATAACAGTAAAATATAGATGACATTTCCTTAAAATGAAAAAATGAATGTTACCATAACAGCTTCTAAAATATGACTGTATTTAGAAAATAACTTTTGTAGTCTTTTACAACATTCTTTATCTTGGTCAGAACTAAGCCACGAATTAACTATATAGACCATTAACGCTTGGTAAACACATAGTATTTGTTTAATGACCTCTTTATTTTCCGTGGTATCAGAAATTATATCCAGAAGACAATCATTTTCGTTCTAAAACAATCAAATAAAACAAATCAGATTTTATTCAAACTAAATAAACATAGATCTTACTAACCACTTTTATTTCATCTGTATTGCAATCACTGTAGAAATTTACTAGCTGACAGAGTAATTGCTTTAATTCGTCAATTTTTGTATAGTCATTATTGTCATTATTGTCATTAAACTGTATATTTGTAACCAGTACGTGTTGAGCCAATAAAATTAACTCATCTAAAGGTTCCTAAAAATAATATATAAACATAACATTTAAGAATATAAACAAATTATGATTAACTCACAAGTACAATAGGTTTATTATCTTTTCCTATGACTATGGACTTGTCAAATTTTAATGACTTTTTGTTTTCTGCTACTAAAAGTCTGTTGCACCATGAGCTCATGTGATCTAATAGCAAACTATTAACATATACACACAATTCGTTGTTATGCGAAATCACTCTGATTAATCCTCTATAAAGTGATTGTTTGATTTCTGATTTTTGGTAAAAGCATGTTTTAAGCGAATCCAAAATTTCTAAACAAATTGTTTTATTGTTTTCGGTATCTTCAGAATCAATAGCAGAATGAATATCCACAGAATCTCGATCAAGAACCATCTATTAAAAACAATTTTATAAGTATGAGAATATTCTTGGAAATAAGTTCAGAAATTAAAAATGTTTTTCGTTTATTAGATTTCAATTTTAATTTAAAAAAGTAATTTAAATTTCATGATATAAGATATTTAAATTAAATGCATATAAATTATAATGATGAAGTATTTTTATTAGTGTTTTTATTTTTATTACCATCACTCAAAATCCATTATTTTTATTTTTGGGATTAAACTTAATCGTAGGATAATTTAATTAAATGCATTGGTACTACTGAGGTAAAAATTATAAGAAAGGGCTATTAAGAAATTAAGTCTAAGAAATTTATGATGATTTCTTTTTTAACTATCCCCATAGACCTATGATTATAGTCATATAAATAGATATAGATACTATATAGACTATAGTCTATGACTATCACTAATAATTCTACTTTTTTTAAATTCAATTTATGAATTATACAAATTATAACAAAAAAAAAAAAAAAAAAAAAAAAAAAAAAAAAACAAATTATTGAATAAATGTCAAAAATATCAATTAGTAAGAATTATATAATGAAATAATATGAATGATGAAAATAAAAATTGTATAATATAATTAAATATAACACTATTTTATATTACTTTAATATAATTAATATAATATTAATAATTTTTCTACATGTTCCACTTATCTAAATTTATTTAAATAGTACACAGCTAATTGTATACAATCTATTTCCCTCAATTAAATATATGATTGACCAATTTGTATAATTTTGTATTTTTTTTTTTTAACATTACAATACACTTTATATTATACATAAAAAGAAACCTAATTGTTTATTTTAAGTTTGTAAGTTATAAAATTAGACTATGTCATATTATTGTGTATGTGAAAAGTTTAAAACAATTACCATAATACAGCTATAAATTACCTGAGTAAATAATCCAGGCCAAGAATCTTGACTGTTTGTATTCTGACTTAATGTTGTATAACTGTCCAAATGAACACTACACAATATTTCAATAAATCCCAAAACTGCACAATGTCTTAACTGATAATCTCTATAAACAATTTATAACATACAAATTTAATAATTGTGTTTAGATTTTAGTATTGTAATTATCTTTATTAAAGCAGTAATTTTTTTTTACATATTGAATCGACTAATATACATTATTTTCATAATAATATGATATATAATAAGTAATGAGAAGTTGAAAAAATAAAATAAATATTCAAAATTTAACTGATAAAACAATAGTATATTTAATAATAATAATCTTTATTTTTTTTCCAGCAATTTTTATTTATATAATAATAATATGATACAATATAGCTATTGAAGAATCAAATTTTAATTTAAATGATTTGAATTGTTTATATATAAACATAATTAATATGTATTTATATTGTATCAACGCGGGTTAAATTGCCAAATATTTTAACATTTCAGAAATAAAATCAGTATTTTTTTATTTTTTTTTCTGACCATAACTTGATGATGATACTTATCTCTATTTATTGATATGTTATTATAGTGACTGAATACCCATCATTCTTCATAGCAATATATACAGTGGCTTAAAATCTAACTGTGGACAAGAATTTAACAATATCTATGATTCCTCAATTGTTTTTGCAGAGGAAAAATACTGAGTAGCATACTATTTTTTTCTTTTTTGTACTAAATATACATTTTATTACACATTGATTGATTAATATTAATTGCAAAGACTTCAAATAGTAAATTTTTGAGGAGAAAATAACAAAGATTTTAAATAAAAATTTTAAATTTTAGACATTCATTGTATTCTAGATTGTTTATTTTTACTCTCTAAACCTATATTGTAACCTAAGAAGAGTTTTCTTTTAATTTGATATTTAAAGATTAGATATCATAGAATGTTATTTTAGATTGACTTAAAGTCATGAATATAAAAAGGAATAGAAGACCTAAAAAATTAAGATTAGGTTAAAATATATAAGCAATTAAAACTGAGATCAAATTAAATAAATGAATAATAATTACACATACTTTGTAAAATAAACTTACTTTGATATAAGTTCTTTTCTTAAAATCATGATGATATTATCGCGCAAATATGTTGATGTTTTTAGCACGGGCATGACTGCACAAGTTACTTTATCAGTCATGCCGACTGGTATTTCTTTAAACAACTTCAATATTTCAGTATTATTCTCAATAACTGTTGACTTTTGATTTTTACAAAGTTTATGTAAACATTCTAAGACACAAAATATAAATTGAATTACAAATTTCAAAATATTTATAATATGTACAGTATAAAATATATTTCCAAGTACCTAAATATTGATTAGATTCAGGGTTAGATGTAATAAAATTGGTCAATTTTCTTAAGACACTACCAGTGATAAATGATCGTTTGTGAACCAATGATACTATGATGAACAAACCAAGCTGATGAACTGTATTTATAATCTCAGCATTTTCTATAATAATATAATTTAGTAACATTAAGACTGCACAGAATATAAATAAACTAATTAAAATAATTTAGTTAATAATTTACTCTTGAATACAGATGAAGTAGTTCCAAGAAATGATAATCCCAAATTGACAAGACCTTTAAATATTTTTTCATAGCTTGATATTCTAAATAAACAAACAGTAGTTATTGAATTGCAAGTAAAGAGAAAATAATAAGTGATATTCAAAACATACTCGCTCTTTATAAATATTTGAAATTGTGAATAAACATCATATATATCTGTATAATGGAGTTTTAACCAATACGAACGTTTAGTATTTTCTACTTCTACCAATGATTGCACTACAAGCTTTTTTATCAAATCAATAACCTAAAAACAATAGGTGTACAAATTTAATACAATTTTTAGTAAAAAAGCGTACAAGTAAATTAATTTTCTTACATTAGCTTCAAAAGGCGCACAACAAGACATAGTTAGCAAAAATGCCAACATGAATGGACCAAAAACCATGTTAGGAGCACCAATACTATTTTTTATGTACTTAGTAATATCATTAACAAATGAAGAATGAACTTTAGCAAAATCTTCCAACAGAAATAATACTGTACTCTCAGCTTCTAAAAATTCTTTCTTCCCTGCACCTTCTAGAAATCCAGTATAATAATAATATTAATACCTTGAGTTATGAATTTATTGACAATATAACAGACAGTTGATAAAACACCATACCTATTTCAAAGGCAAAGTTTTCATCATTACTTTGATCCAAATGGTACTTATCATCAAAATACTTTTGGAGAGTACAAAAAAGAGTTAGAAAATCTCCACTTAAACAGAAATGCAATATTTGCTGCAGAATAGGTGGAATTTCTTGAGGTTTCATTTGACCAAAGTATGAGCATAATGTTTTGATTACTAATTCATGTTCTTTCTCAGTTAATAATGTTCCTCTATAATTAAATTAATCGTAGTGTAATAGAAAATATTTTTGTAGACGTGTATTCGTGTTAAAATTTAACTAAAAGTAAAAATACCTAAACATTAGTGCGAGTGCTACTGAGATGTTGGGCTGTACTTTAAAACGGCAAATGTCAGTTATGATCATTTCTTTGTAATCAGCACCTGTCATTTCTATTTCTTCGGTTCTAATTAGTTTTATTTCAGATACTATTTTTAAAATATGAGGAAGCAATTCTTTCCAACTGAAATTAAAATAATATTATATCTTAAAATTTGTCACACACATAAAAAATATATATATAGTAATACCTCTGAACACATTTTTCATTTGATTCTTCGATGTCTTTTTTACACATATTTATAAATTTGATAAGTTGCTTGGTCGATAGTTTATTTAATTCTAATGATAAACGACTAATCAAACATACTTTCATTTTTTCTGGAATTTCTGCAATATTGATTGCGTTTAATACATATTCATAAACCTGTAACAAATATTGTTATATGTTGAAAGTACCAACTAATGCATTAAATCAATTTATAAATATAAAATAGCAGTAGTTTGACCAGCTAGTTTTAGGCAGTATATTTTACTACTACCCATAAAATATTTTTCTCAGTATCTTTAAGTGTTTAAGATATATTCTGAGTACATACATTTTCTATGGTTTTTTGGGAATCAGGCTTCACAGAAAGTCCAACTAATATATATTCCAATACTTTAGGTCCATCTTCACGTTCAATTTTTTCATCTATTAATGAATATATCTGTAAAATAAATAGAACTATAAAATAATGTTTGATGGTTCAATATAAAAAATAAATAATAATAAGATGACAAAATAGTAGAGTTGGCTTTTATATTGTTTTTATTTCATTTTTATACATTATTCAAATTGAGATTAATTATTTTAAATATCTAGAGGTATGTCATTTAATGAATACTTAAATTTAATTTATAATATTATTATAATAGTATTAAATTAATTTTCATAATTTGCTATTAACAAAATGGTTAAGACGATGTTCTTGATTACATTCGTAATGAGTGAAAACACAAACTAACATAGTGTGGCAATGTCAAAGAAAAACATTTTTAATTTTACAAAGATAATCCACAGTTTAAGATCAATTAAGTTCAATAAATATATAATCTTTGAATTTGTAAATAAATACCTATTTAAATGTGTCATTATAATATTAGAATATTAATATAATTTTAAATAAATTTGGATATAAGTTGAAATCAAAATACAAACTCGACTAAATAAAATTATTAAACACGAAAAATTACTGAATTTTAATAACCAGGTTTTTTTTTAGTAAAATTGCATTTATTTCAGCATTAATGTTACATCACCATAATCCTTTAATAAGTAATTCGATAAACAAATTATCAATTTAAAAAGAGTAATCTTTTATCAATGGTTAGGTAAGTCATTTTACACACCATGCCTATAAGCATATTATTATTATTATTATTATAAAGGCATAATATACAATTAAAGATGAATTTTAATAAAATAATAATTATTATTATTATACGAACGGTATCCAAATCTAGCTCTTGAGAGACGAACGTCTGAAACTGTTCAAAATCTTCACTGCTGTTCAGCCTATTATTAGCGAGTTCCACTAGGCTTTTGATTTTGTCACCGCTCATCTTTTGAAATATCACACAACTTACTGAAGAAGACGAGGGTGCGTAACTCAGTCGATGACTAGGTTAGTTTTGAACCATTGAAAGACGTGATTTAAAACTTTTAGACTACACCGAAAACACGTTTCAATACAATCAGTCGTTGTGGCTGTTATCTAGTGATAAATATTAAATATGCTTATGAGTGCTAAATATCCAAAAAAAAGTAAAAAGTAATATTACAGTGAGCACTTAACTCACAAAGAGAGAACTATTAAGGTCTTATCATATTTTGAGTAATTTGGAGGGAAATTTTTAATGATAAAAAATTACGTTATCATAGATTATCCGTGTCCGTTATCAATGACGAAGTTATCTTCTGATCAAGCGATGCCAGGTTCGCGTAATGCATGTCCAAAACCGCGGTAAATGCTGAATCGATTTAAAATTGATAAACCATAAGGAAAATAAATTATTTAGATTTTATTATAAATAATAATGGGTGCGATGAAATAATACAATAACAATAACATCTGTATAGTTTTATTTAATTATGTTGGTAAATTATAAAAAATATCACTTTTATCTATTAATTTATTATACGTGCATAAATGTGTGATATTTGTATACCTAAAGAACACGAACCTCGAAGACAGACAACTGTTAAACTGTTAAAATCTAAACTTTAAATGCTTATAAAACTAAATAGTTTTTATGAATTTTTAATATTTTTAAAAACTCTTAGTCTGAATAATTTTTAATTGGCTTTAAAAAAAAAAATAAATATCAAAATTTTAAATATATATTAAACTCGAAATGAGAAAAATATTTTTAAAATGATCACATATATATATATATATATATTTTGAAAAATTTCAACTATCTGCAGTTAATGGTTTTCGAATTACACCTCAAAGATAAAATCGATTTTATCAAACAGTGAATTTTCTTAAACATTCTCGTTTTTTTTTTCAATTTTTTGTTTTAAAAAATACTTATGATAATTTCTCTTAAATACAAATAAAATCTTATTTCTCATCAAACTCCACCTTCAAAGTTGAAAATTAAAGCATATTTTCAATTACTTATTGTGTATATGGACAAAACAAAATTAAAATATACATCATTGTAAAATCAATATATTCATTGCTTAGCTTAGAATCTAAAAATACACTCTATATTACTGTCCATAAAATCAGTTCGATTGAAACGTTAAAATTTCCATTTTCTACCCCTCATAATTATGCATAAATACATAATATACTCTGCAGTGTCTGCACTATGAACATTGAACACGCGATACGTAATATGACTCCTGTCTAGGAATAATATTAAGGTAATATCGTATAAAATATATACAGTCAATAAAAGTAGTTTTGTCAAAATTAAAAGCATTTATAGTTTAAACTTTAAAGTATGTATGTATACGTTCAACCGTACAGGCGATGCAGACATCATCACTACTTAGGTTACCAGCTATCTTTAATGGCGATCACTATTATAATATACAGTTTACATGAAACAAAAACTACGTGCCACGAAAATCTAAGTACCTACCTACCAACTACTTTTGTTTTAAATATTATTATTTATTATTATGTTATTGTATTAACATTTACTTATAAGGAATTATTGATAAATTTATGTCAGTATACAATATTTAAAATTTTTGTGAACGTTAATAAAATAATTTAAAAATACATAGTATGAAAATTCAAATTTGAACTAAAAATTATAACTAGTGAATTTGTTAAAAAAAAAAAATAAAATTTTCAATATTAATCAATGTGTGTTGTTATAATTTAGTAGGCACCTAGTTACTTTTTAAATTTACCTCATTATATATATTTTATTTATTCATTTATTTACCCATAAATTATAATGAAAAATGATTACTGAATAATAAATAACAATTTAGTATGTCAGTGTTTTTTTGGCTACGACACGATTGAGCATAAAACACCTTTTTTGCGACACGATTGAGCATAAATTGTCGGCGCATCAAAGGAAATTGAAATACAAAAGAAAACCAACACGATTGAGCATAAAAAACTCTGCAATGTTGCCATTTTTAATTTTGAAATGTATTATACAAAAAAAATGTATTTAAATAATTATAATAATTCAAAATATAATATAGTACATAGATCTGTTTTATAATAATAAAATAATAATAATAATAGTTATGACTTATGAAAATAATAAAATCAAAATATTTATAAATAGAAACTATAAACGCACTTATACGAAACGCTATATCGATAACATTGTCGATAAAGCTGAGGAGCTCGGCTCACGGCTCGCGTCAGATATAATAATAATTGGTGTAATACGTAATACGTGAAAATAATAAATTACAAAATTTTGGCAACGTGAATTTGGCAACATCGCATAAAATATTCTATGCTCAATCGTGTTGCTAAAAAGGTCTATGCTCAATCGTTTTATGCTCAATCGTGCTTTACCAGTTTTTTTTTTACTTAAGTATGGCACTCATAACACACCATACATTTAAAAACAAATAACCTAGTAAATATTTTTAAAACTATTTCTAATAATAAAAAACATACCTTATAAATGTTAATTACTTTATAAGTAATAAATTATTTGAATAATTAATTAAGAATTATAATACTAATTTTTTGAGTTGATAAAATCATCATTTGTAACGTTATTTAGAAAAAAAATTACTTACAGTTTTCAGCTATTCATAATTCAAATTAACTCATAATTACATTAATTACTCATTTAACTTAAAGAGCTTTTCTAAGAGCTTTTTTTAGTCTTTTCACATACAACAATAACACATGAATAAGTATACGATTTAGGTCTTAGGGATTAGGTGGACTTTTAGAATTTAATATGAAGCTGATAAAATTTAACAAAAATATAAATTATTCTAAATAAATGTTCCTTAAAAATATTTATTATTATAATTAGTTTTTTTTAAACTTTAATAAAAATATACATGTGATTACATTTCAAAAACACACGTCATATGGACAATAATCTATGCAGTTTGCATATTGCATATAAATGTAGTAACGTAAATACTGTGTTGTGGCGTTTTAATAGATACCACTGAATTCGAAAATTAATAAAAATTAAACAAATTATTATAAGATAGTGGTATAAACTATAAAGGGTATATCGCAATGATCTGAAACATTAAAATGTAATTTTAACGTAAAATTGTCACATTTAAATGATATGCCATGTATGTAGTTAAAAATCACATATGGTGGAAAAAATTGATTAGCTTAATTAATTAATGGTAACATGAAATACCTTATTCATTGCAAGGGGTTCACTCAAAACACTAACTGTAACTAAATATATTTGTGTAAAATAGTGAAAATTTATAAATTATAATTCATAATAGAAATCTATATTTCGAGTGGAGATTGTTGTATATTGTTTTCATAACGATGTATTTTTTTTTTTTATGATCCAATCCATCTTTTAGAGCTGTAAAAATACTTAAATTTTCAATTTAAAAAATGTTTTTTGATATATTATTGAATACAATTGATATTTTGGAAGACAAAAGTATTCCCAATGCTTTTCAAAATGATAGGGAAAAACTAAAATAATTATAAAAAAACAGTGACTTACCTACTTGTATTCATACAAAATAAGTTTTCGAAAAGATTTATTTAGTTCGTTTCTTGTAGGTAATCATAGAGATCTGCGTTCTAGTTTAAGACTCTATTGTTAGTTCTAAGTTATTAATAATATTGTAGTTTGTTATTGGTATGCACTTATTCTTATACTGTTAAGGACAGATTTATAAACATTTTGATCTGAATAATTATTCAAATAAATATTTACTTATACTAAAAACATTTGAATATATTTTCATTTAAATTATTACAAAAAATGTTTTAGAATAATGTTTTGCTTTGATTTAGCTTGCTTTGGTTTATACGACTGTATATAGTTAATTGATTAATAAAATAAATAAAATAATCGTTTATGGAAATTGTTAATATTGCGTTGGCAATATTACTATTGCATTGGTGAAAAAAAAATATAGTCTCGGGATCCTTTAGTTTTTATATACCAACCTATTATATTTGTGAATCCTCCACTACTATCTCATCAAACTATATTAATTTTGTCGTGACTCGTGACAATCAATCGTCACCATAATGTATACGATGTAGTAATTACAACTATTCGGATATCTCATTTTACACGATTTATCAATTATCATCGCTCATCCGGACATACCATAAATATACGACGTATTTTATATCACCCAGCATCCGGCGAGTGTCGACAGATTGGATTTATATGTCACTATTTTATAGAACATATAGGTCAGTTATTATTATTTGAAATCCTTGTGTATACGAACTGTATTACACATTTACACCATAACAATAAAACTGTGTAAAAATGTAAAACCACAGAGTAACTCACGGAAATAGGGTTAAAAACAGACGAGTTTTTTTCTACGTAGAATGGGAGTGGAAAAGTCTAGACAAACGAATTCTATTTGTCAGATAATGCCGGTTAGTTAGCACGACGAAGCAGTTGAGTGTATTGGTACACGTTGTGTACCTACACGCAACAATGAATCAATAGTGAAGGTGCAGCGTGCATTTAGATATTTCATAATTCACTTCAACATCAGATGGTCGCGGTGTGTTTTCTAATCGGAAAACGATTATGAGGTAGATCACTCCTCTTGAACAACGGGAATAATTACAAAAATAAATCACCTGATCCCGAACGTACTTTGAAAACTTTCGAAAATATGAAAAGGGTAAAAACAGCTTTTCTTTAATGTCTATGACATTCCATGTGCAATCAAGCTCAAGTTTTCAAATTTATCGTAATGGCGTTCAAAATACAATCTTATTCGAGGAAAATGACGCGATATGGTGTTGTTCATGAGTGATGAGGCGCACTTTCATCTCGACTTTTTTGTGAACAAATAAAACTGACGTTTTCATATGATGGGAAATCTTCAAAACCTCCATGAACAACCACTGCACACCTCTATATAATTTGATATTCAATTTAAAAAAACTCATCATTAGTCATTAAGGAGCAAGATAAAAATTTTAATAATGTCCATTACATCGACATGCTAAATACATTTTTGTAACCAGAATTGCATAAAATAAGATAAACAATGAACTTATTGGTTGTTTAGTTTCAAGAAGATGGAACACCTTCTTATACTGCCATCGCTATAATGAACTTCGTAGCAAGATGTTTCATGGCCGATCCATATATCTATTATTAGGGATTTTTA